GTGGTCGACGAACCTGCGACCCACCTGATGTGTTATCGTGACTGATGCTCATAGATACTAATAATTCTAAGGACACAATTTAACCACTGCTCATGGTTCAGATATCTTAACCTTTACATTTGATACTTGGAGTACACCGTGAAGGGGTTTTGAAAAAATCAAATCTTAAAATGTACTTACTGGTAATCAACGCAACAGTAGGGATTGACTCATCTCCTGTAGAGTTAGAGAACGGAGGGAAAGATCTTCCATTGAGCGGGTGATATTGCTCGGTAGACCGACGGTCCGAATGTTGTTGTTAAGAACTTGTATATATGCAAGCCTATCTTGAAAATGTCGTAAGCGAGATTCATCTGTCCAATATCTTGCATTGTATGATAGCTACCGTCACATCTCCAACCCTAAACGGGTTGTGTTTTTATCTCAAACAATTTTAAATCGCACTAATAACGCTAATTTATGATTTTGTCAAGTGTGATCTTACGATGCTATTTTATTGTGATAGAAACCGTTCATTAACGCATACCTTATCCATAGATTCAACATTCAACAGCCATAAGACAATAGGCGCCCGTAACTTTGAAAACTAGTAGCAAACCGTTAAACAGACTAGCAACATGTAAATGACGAGACAATTGTCCTTTTTTTTTATTGCTTAGATGTGTGGACGAGCTCACAGCCCACCTCGTGTTAAGTGGTTACTTGAGCCCATAGACATCTACAACGTAAATGCGCCACCCACCTTGAGATATAAGTTCTAAGGTCTCAAGTATAGTTACAATATATTTAAGATACTAACGCATTTTGTCAGTGCCGTTTGAAGTATCAACCGCGATATAGTTGAAATATGTAGGTGTAATCTCTATGAATGTCTTTAAGTAGGTAAATAAATTGTTTAAGCAATGCACTTTATAAATATCTAATAATTGGTGAGCTTAATGATCGCCTTATTTAAAAGTTCTGAAACCCAGATCTTCTATCTTCATCGTGATATCAACACTATATCGTGATATTATTGTAATATTATCAGAAGTATACAAAAGGTCCAAATTTTATATTGTTCATACCAATATTTACGTGATTATGTTATTTAATATGTCAAACTGACAGATAAAACTGGGTGACTCGGTGGTGTGGTAGGTAACGCCCCTGACTGCTGTGACGAGGGTCGTGGGTTCGATTCCCACATCGGGCAAACATTGTGTGATAAACAGGTTTGTTTGCTCTTTGTCTTTAATGTTTATTATCTATATATGTATCTATGTATTTATATATTTAAACGTATATAAGTATGTTTATCAGTCTCTGGTACCCATAATCTTAAAATGGGGCTGGATGACCGTGCGTGGTTTGTTCCCAGTTATTACTATTTTAGCGCTCGTAATGAGGACTCCAGTGAGCGGTTGGTTGTGCGAAAGAAAGTCGAGGATAAAAAATCTCACGGACGATTTCCAACACGATGGACCGACCTAATAAAATCTGTGACTCACTCCAACATAAATGATTGCACTCACTCTGCGAAACATCGTGCCACATGGCGTCGCATCGCGAAAGCATCGGTATCGCAGTATTCGACTGATGAATGACCATGACCACTCTATCAAAAGTGTACGACTAGGAAGAAGAAGAAAAATTATTATTTTATGATTATAAACTATATTAGATTTAATCCAGTTTCAAACCAATTAAACACGCTTCTGGGCTTTGAGTCTATTCATGTACAAGTAAACACGAAAACAAAAATTTTAACCATGGAAAACTTAAGACGGTGCTCCATACCTCCGTGACTGTTGTTAGTTAAGGTTTAAAATTTTCATAATACAAGTAATTATAATATGAAACGGCACGATAAGTTTAAAAAATTCAAAAATGATTCCAGAACATTCGCTGATATAACGTACAGGGGACACGCGAATTTTTTGTATCAGCTAACTTTAGTATAGAACTATTTTAATTCGATAAGCCTTGATGTTCGCTTTAAGGAGATTATGAAAAAAACTTAAACGTGTGGATACTTGATCTCTTAGTTCTCATAATGTAAGATTGCAGTTTAAGATTGCAATATTGCAATCTGGTGGCAGGACCTCTTGTGAGTACGCACGGGTAGGTACCACCACCCTGCATATTTCTGCCATGAAGCAGCAATGCGTTTCGTTTTGAAGGGTGGGGTAGCCGTTGTAACTATACGGAGACCTTAGAACTTATATCTCAAGGTGGGTATTTACGTTGCAGATGTTTATGGCCTTCAGTGACCACTTAACACCGAGTGGGCTGTGAGCTCGTCCTCCCATCTAAGCTATAAAAAAAAAACATAAAATTTTTTGAACAAAAACATTACTCTTAAATCTGGAAGGTGCGACTGTTTCGCAGTTGATATGCATTAGGATGGTAGAAAAATATCTTTGATCACATTCCACTAACATAAGAAAATTATAATACCAGAACATTTAAATGAGTCCCACACTAAATCTCATTTACAGCTGATACACATTCTGATTCAACACTTAGGACTTGTAATATCTATACATTTTATGATCCTTTGAGTAATTTTTCATATATTGATTAAAACACTTAATTAATTAATAAGTATTATTTAATATATGAGCGCACACTTAACCGAACACTTAGGAAAAAGACAAGACGGAAGTTGAGTAAAGAGCGAGATAGCTACATTTTAGAATTACAGCTATCGAATGCGTTTAGGAATTGGTTTGATATCTCACATAATTGAAATCCTAAAATTATATTTGAAATCTAACGCTATTTTTTCGAACTGAATTTAAGCTGCCAACTCAAAATCGGATGCCAAAGAAGAAATATTCGCAAATGGGAAACCCAGATAATCCACCTTTCAATTCCACACCTACATTGGATTCTAACAGCGGGAATTTCGTACGAAAATCTGCAAAATTCAAACGACAAATCATCCGAGACCACGACAGTGTCATGCACCTCTGCGCCAAGAGTAATATGTACAGCAAATATTTGTACTACGTCTTCGCTGAGATTTGTTCCAGATTTTCGTATTTCATTTGTTGGTTTATTTTGTTTATTCCCTTTAGGATTAGATTGAGAGTGTGTGCTTGAAAGAAAGGGAAAAATTGGACTGACTTCATTTGTTTTTGTCCATATATTTTTTAAATGTTGTTATTCAAATTCAAAATTGCTTTGAATTCTGTTTCGGTTTTTTTCTCTTGTTATATTTACTTTTATACACAGCAGATATACAGTATATACCCCGATATAAATCCCATATTATTATAACCAGAAGGAAACAGAGATTACTGAATATCAGCGTTCTTATATATACATATAGATATGTAAACGTCTACTTCTCCATTTTATGTTTAATTTTTATGAAATTAAACCAATATGATGGTTGATTTTAATGTAAAAAGACGATAGACGCCAACCTAAAATACGCGGCAGGGTAACAGTAAAATATATGAAAAGTTCTACATACAATTCTAGAGCCTACCGTAAAGTACTTCCTACGCAAAACTGGTCAAAACTGGTCAAAAATGGTATACGTAATATATCTTGGCTGGCCCATAAGTTAAGAGTCGCACAGCGGGCGATGGAGAGAGCTATGCTCGGTATCTCTTTAAGGGACAAAATCCGGAACGAATAAATTCGACGGAGAACCAAAGCCGACGACATAGCTCTCAAAGTTACCAGGCTAAAGTGGCAATGAGCCGGTCACATCTGTCGAGCCAGTGACGCCAGGTGGGGGAGGAAAATCCTCGAATGGAGGCCACGGAGCGTGGGGCGTCCTCCAACCAGGTGTACGACAACTTAGTGCGCACGGCAGGAAGTCGTTGGATGCGGAAGGCGGAGGACCGGATTATGTGGAAGGCATTGGGGAAGACCTATGTCCAGCAGTGGACAGATAAAGGCTGATGATGATGATGAATATATCTTGACTAGTACTCGCAAAAATTACCTATTATTATAAATTAAATTTATTTTAATTTCGATTCAAGTATAGCTTGTTTAATATTCATTATTAACAACAACAACAAAAAAATTGCCAATCTTTGCCTACAAATATAACTGCTAAATAAATCGGTCAACAGTTCGGTAAAACTTATTTTGGATCCACAACGAAACCTTAATCGTTTGTCAACACAGCTACGTATTTATTTGAAAGTCACAATAGCAAATTCGCGGAACAATATTTGCAGTTTGTTTATTCAATGAGAAAAACATATTTCATTTCCGCTGGACTCGATCCAAAGTTTGCCTTTATCTCGCAATATACGTGTCACTTGTATATGAACTAAGGTGACTGATATTTAGGTATATTTATTTTAAACATTTTAATTTTTAACGTTAATATTTGAGAGGCCTAGATGAGGAGACGGTTTAAGTTCCATTCTAGCCTTCCAGCTTCCTTCCTTCCAACTTTTTAACAAAACCAACACCTAATATGAACATAATTACATTATGACGACAGATTTAATGTTATGAGAAATCGCAGTGAGAATTAACCGGCAAAACCATTGCACGGATCCCTACAAACAAATAAAATTTTATTTTTTTATTGCTTATATAGGTGGACGAGCTCACAGCCTATCTGTTGTTAAGGAGTTACTCTAGCCCATAGACATCTACAACGTAAATGCGCCACCCATCTTGAGATATAAGTTCAAAGGTCTCAGTATAGCTACAACGGCTGCCCCACCTTTCAAGCCGAAACGCATTACTGCTTCACGGTAGAAATAGGCAGGGCGGTAGTACTTACCAATGCGGACTCACAAGAGGTCCTACCAGTAGTATAATATATTGCCTTGGCTTGAAATTTTACATTTCAATGCCGATCAATTACCAATTACCAAACAATTATCTCGGCTGTATGCTTGGCCATGAAATCAGCTAATAACTTTTGGTGTCCTTCAAGCTCTCAAGATTAACCAAATATTATCACTTCCAACGATAAGGTCAAGTGTTCGTTAACGTTGGACCAACAACGTAAAATTACATTATTGATTTTGTTTCAGTTGGGCCAACGCTCCAAGCCAAGTACCCAGTAATCGTTTTCATTCACGGGGAGTCTTTCGAATGGAATTCCGGTAATGTTTACGATGGCTCCGTGTTGGCTAGCTACGCTGGATTAGTTGTAATCACCATCAATTACAGGCTCGGTATCCTTGGTAAGTATAATAATACCTTTGGATAATTTAGTAATAAGTTTCTCAAAAATACATTTATGAAGTAGCGTTTTTTACAAAACGAATCATATGGGTCATAGATTTTTTCTTTGCTTAAACATTATTGTTTTATTTCTTCTTTTATGTTAGTATCCGCATTTCATAAAAATTATAATCAGATTGTCGATTAAATCAATATTCAAAAGAGAGGTCTATCGTTTCTTCGACAAAATAGTTATTTTAAACAGCTCTGAGAAATAAATTTAGCGATTGGGTTTTTTATTTATTATTAATACTCATGTTGTATTATTTGTCTTCTAAATCATATCACCATATAAAAAAAGCCTGAATATATTTTATTACACTATAATATCAATTTTTTAGTGTGACATTAAAGTTGCGATTTTAATTTCCTTAAGCTCACCTCTCAAGGGTTCATTCAGGTTCATGTCATAAATCACCCTCTTCTGCAGAATAGAAATCGATTGAACATCTGCAGCATTACCCTACAGTAAAATGACGTAGGACGAAGCGGGTCGTCCAAATAGTCGGTAGACCCGATCTCTTGGATCGTTTGAAGCCTCTGAGGTTACAGAGGCACTTCGGTTCTTTGTGTGTTTTGTACTGTATAATTTACGAAAATTACTCTGAAGAACTGATTATTGAGCTGACTATTGAACACTGACTATCCGAATTATTATAATTACTTATTTCATATAGGATTTCTGAACGCCAATCCTATACCACACCTTAAAGCCAGAGTGGCAAACTACGGACTAATGGACCAAATAGCAGCCTTGCACTGGGTTCAACAGAACATCGCGCTTTTTGGAGGGGATTCTGGCAATGTAACCATGCTTGGACACGGCTCAGGAGCGGCTTGTATCAATTTCTTGATGATATCTCCAACTGTCATGCAAGGTAACATGAAATTTGTAACAAAATAAAGAAATAACTGAGATTCTCCAATAAAATAAAAGCTTGACTAAGAATTTAAGTCTTCGTAAACTTCTGACGTTTAAGCGGAAAATTCCACGAAATCTAAATTATTGCAAAGTTTTTAGTTTGCTTTACATTTTGGGTAATTGAAAAACACAAGTCAATTGCTTTTCTTGCCGATTCCTTTTAGAAATGTTCGAAATTTCAATCTCAAGTTATAATTGAAAATGGAATAACCTTTGCCCGTGATAGACTGTTCGAAACAACTAATACAAATGGGTGAAAATAATTATTTAATATTTGGCAGGTTTGTTTCATCGAGCGATCCTTCTGTCGGGGTCAGCGTTGAGCTCATGGGCGTTAGTAGAAGACCCAGTCAGCTATTCCGTCCAATTAGCGAAGCAATCCAACTGCACTCTACCTGAAGACATAGTCAAAGATCATGAGCTAATAGTGGACTGTCTAAGAGAAGTTCCACTAGAAGAGTTGATGTCAGAAGCAATCAATACACCGAGTTATTTAACTGCTTTTGGGCCATCAGTTGACGGTGTGGTCGTCAAAACAGATTACGCCAAAGAACTCTTAACTTATTTCATACCAAACGACCTTCAAGGGTTCACCAGCGTGTCAGGAGTGAATAATTTCAAAGCTGACAAACGGAGTGGCGATAGGATATTTGGAATCAGAGGTGGCCAAAATAAATACGATCTTCTATTCGGCGTTGTGACCAGTGAGGCACTGTGGAAATTCTCCGCTCAGGACATTCAAAACGGCTTCGAGGGTGAAAGGCGGGACAGAATAATAAGGTGGGTAGATGTTTATTCAGCAAATTGATGTTCGAACGAAATGGGGCCAGGACCTCATACGAATGGTACGTAATGAAAGGTAGATCGCCATTCGGATATATTGGATGGCACAATACCGCCACGAATAAAGGATTACCCTATGTAATGAGTTCACTGCACAAGTTAAAATCCATTTTTGAATTTATTTTTCTAGTGATCTTATTTATCATGAAAGACAGCTCAACATTTATTAGTTTTAGAAATATTAAAAATGTGTAATTTTATACCAGCTTATAGAATATCTGACGTTATTTTTTCAGACAACAGTACCTTTTTTGTAAAAGCAATCTCTGTCCGTTTCTATGATATTCGCGCGTCTATACATATATATGTTAATATACTTGTAAAATATTATTTTTCCAATTGTGCTGCACTAAATATTTACAAACGCTTCACTTCACCGACATTTACACAGTTAATTAAGGTCGACAAGTATGTACAAATATTTCTTTCTTCGTGAATGGTAATTCGTTAATCAGATTACATGTGTAATTATGTAACAAACATGTAATTTAAGCTTCAATTTCCATGTAAATCTATTAATAAACAATATTATAATATGTTCGGGAAGATTTAATTGCCGTCTTTCAAGATTGTCAAAATGCTACGTCATCACAAGTACCAATTAGATATCTTTATTAATAGGAAAAACATATAAAGAAAATAACATATAAAGACACATAAAAACATGTAAAGAAAAGGAAAAACATATTTTTCCCTTCGCAAACAAGTTCGTGTTCATGAGGCTAAAACATTTTTAGTAGAGAAATTTTTATCTTAACAAAAGATAAAATTCATTGGCTACAGCTGGAAATTCAAGAGGAGCTCCCACTGAAATCTCTATAGATAAACGTAATGGCCTATTTTGTTGGATATAAAGTATTTCACTGTTGTAATTTGAAGACACTATTTCTATTCGATAGCGTATCTATGTTTATAAATTTCAAATTAAAATCGCATTTAATCGCGAACACTTTTTTTGTAACGAATATTTTTCTGGGCTCCTATAGTCCAAAACCCTTCTTCCCATATCCCAATGTATCTGATGAGCATGTCGTATCTCTACTGGTAGTTCTATTCTTACAGATGTATAGAAAGGAGCACAGTTTATGAAAATAAAAAAATAAAAAATACAAGCTCGGGTCGTTAAGTGTGGAACGATGATTTATACTTATATTATATTACTAGCTGACCCGGCAGACTTCGTAGTGCCTCAATCGATAAATAAAAAACCTAAAGCTTTGTTTAAAATAAAACTTAAAACAAACAAAAGGAGTCGGTCTGACGGGGGACACATCAAAGGAAAAACTATTTTTTTATTTTAATTTAATTCCGAGCATTTTCATATTTATCTACCTTTTAAACCTTCTCTGGACTTTCACAAATAATTCAAGACCAAAATTAGCCAAATCGGTCCAGCCGTTCTCGAGTTTTAGTGAGACTAACGAACAGCAATTCATTTTTATATATAAATATAGATTATATATTTATATTATATTAAATAATCCTTAGTTCTCCACTTAGGGTCTGCGGAGGGACTTCGGTTCCCTCTGTATTTTGTACCGTATGTTCCATGGGGAGTGCTCTGAGGAATTGTTCGAGATGATACCAGCATCTCGTTTTTATCATCGCACCGCCCGCCACCGGATTAGAGTTCATCCATACTACCTGGAGCCACTGCGGTCATCCACAGTGCGTTTCCAGAGATCTTTTTTGCCACGTACCATCCGGCTATGGAATGAGCTCCCCTCCATGGTGTTTCCCGAGCGCTATGACATGTCCTTCTTCAAACGAGGCTTATGGAGAGTATTAAGCGGTAGGCAGCGGCTTGGCTCTGCCCCTGGCATTGNCAAAGGCAAAAAAAAAAAAAAAAAAAACTTAAAAGAGTAAGAGTTATTGTTAATATTATTTTTAAATGTCCTTTTGTTTCAGAACTTACGTAAGAAACGCTTATACATATCATTTGAGTGAAATATTTTTTACAATTGTGAACGAATATACTGATTGGGAGAGAACAGTACAGGTGAGTAGAAAAGTTATATTTATTTATTAGATATTTTTAATGTAGGTAGGTTTTTTTTTATTGCTTAGATGGTTGGACGAGCTCACAGCCCACCTTGTGTTAAGTGAGTACTGGAGCCCCTAGACATCTACAACGTAAATGCGCCACCCACCTTGAGATATCAGTTCTAAGGTCTCACTATAGTTACAACGGCTGCCCCACCCTTCAAACCGAAACGCATTACTGCTTCACGGCAGAAATAGGCGAGGCGGTGGTACCTACCCGCACGGACTCACAAGAGGTCCTACCACCAGTAAGTAAGTAATTATTTGTCAAAAATATCTATTCATCTAATTTGGAAATACCAACTTCGCAAAAATCGCTATAAAAATGTTATCTACGTTTTGTATCTACATATACTATGAAGGCTTAGCTTTTGAAATGTCGGCGTTAATGGAGCTGATTATCAAATGTCTTAAACCGTTCCCCGCACAATCAAAATGATTTAGCTCACTCCGACATATCTCGCTTGTCTTGCCCTGAATTTCAGAGTTAAATTAAATGTCAAATTTATATATTATTGAGGATTAAATTGCAGTAGATTATTTATTTTAGATAATAGATAGATAGACAGATAAGTATTGAATCCTCTGGGGATACGCAACGCAGGACCAGTCAAAGACGGTATAAATCCAAGAGTGAACGTCTGTGAGTTCAAAGATACATTAATAGATAGACTAGAACACATTCCTCTTATAGTTATAACCATTACGTGGCAAAGGTGGTTAACCAATGAATCGAGTCGTATCAATTCCAATTTAATAGCTGAAGTGATAAAAATCATATAACACATGTGCAACATAATCTATTGCCAGCGTAGTCAACAGCACCACCGTCTCTATTCCCGTGAGGACCTGAAATTATTTTAAGGGAATCAGCGGATAATGAGCAGCGTCGTAACTTGAGTATTATACTAGCATACCGCGTTGGCCAATTGGTTGTAAGGTATATTCTACGAAGCTATTATATCTTTCGGCATGAAGAATGGAACTGCGGTTTACAACTATTAAGAGTTTAACCCCGTATCTTAGGGTGAATTGTGGCCTCTTACCTTTACAAAAAGTTGATATATATGTGTACATTATTAAAATAAAGCAAAAAGATAAAAAACACATAATGAACTACAAGAGGTTAATCCTTAAAGCCATTGAGTGCTCACTGGAAAATTGTCACCTCGAACACAGCTGAAAACTCGAGACAAGAATTCCCAAACAAAAGGCAGAAGGATTTAATAAAGTCCGCGTCGACCCATTTCTGATATAAAACGGTACTGCCCTGAGATCTTGAACGAAATACGCTCATGATGAGTTGGCAGTTGGCGCACGCCGCTTGGCTTTTGGCCTTTACGAACTAAATCGTGCCAAATTCCTATTGTTTTGGAGTTCCAACCAGGAACAGAGGGGTCTAGAGAATATTTTATGGGACAAGTTTTCGGTTGAAGTTCACTAGTTTGAAGAATTTTAGAATTCGGCATCTGGTATTATTCGGCATACAAGAACTTTCTTTGGATATTCTATGGATATACTATCTGTGTCTGACGATAGCTCATATCTACGTTCTCATATCATAGGACGTTTTTTACATAGTACCTAAAAAATTGATATTTAATAATAATAAATTTTGATATTATTCCATTAATATATTTTTAGTTGAATACTTAATAATAATAATTTTAAATGTTATTTCATTATTAAAGATGTATTTGTGTATGAATATCAAAGCTAAGGCTTAAACACGGATACTCACCTTGAGGCGTAAGATGGAAATTTCCAGGAGACCAAATCATGGTTATCGCACCAGAAACAGATAGAATACCTGTCTCCCTGTTTAAAAATTAATTGGTTTAATTTCATGCATTTGAATTTATGACACGATGATATAATAATTCCTGTATCGCTGTAATCTTTTATGAGCTAAACTAGGCGCACCCTCAATAAGAATAACTCAGGACCTATCACAGGACTAGATCCCTTTACTAATCTAGTCATAGATGGACAAGCAGTTATAATTTAGTCTTCGTGGTCTATTACAATCGTGAATTTAATCAAAGAATTAAACGTGTACCTATTATTAATTGTTTTTCTTTTATAGACCGTACGAAGTCCATATTCCCCATTAATAATGTAAATATACATTTCCTTTGATGCAAAAAAAGACCTTAGAACTTATATCTTAAGGTAGGTGGCGGCATTTACGATGTAGATGTCTATGGACTCCGATAACTACTTAACATCAGGTGGGCTGTGAGCTCGTCCACCCATCTACGCAATAAAATATTAAATAAATAAAAATTACACTTCCCGCGTTAAAATAGTAATTACTTAATAAGTTTTTTTTTGTAGTGGTATAAACATGAACTTTAACATTTTCTTCAATTTCCCATAAAGGTATGCACGAAACTAACATTCTGAACTCAGTTATGTCTTAAACTATTTTTCATATTGAAAGAAATATTATCTTTAAAAACATATTATAATATATTCGTTAAAAATCCTAACATTTAATTTTTTAATGCAAATTTTTATTTTATTATACCCAAAGAAAACTTTATCAAAATTAAGTGGTCTAGTTTGTTACGTAGGGAGGAGACAGTCTTTTGTTTGTGAAAACAGTTTTTGGAATCAGTCCAGCCGCTCTAAAGATCCCCACATACAAACAAACTTTTATGAACAGTACATTTCTAGTACTCGTAGATCTAAGTTCACGTAGCATGACCTGACCTTTAGTTAGACTGTCGTTTCGATTACTTTGTCTATATGCAAGGTATGGTAAGGTATTCGCACGGATGGGTATCACAATCTAACCTGTTTTTATGGCAAGAAGTTCATGCCCTTGGGTTTAAAGGCTTACGGCCTCTTGCTATAGTCAAATACCAATAAGGTTAAAGTTTTGTCCATCTACAGTAATCAAAATATTCATACAATATTATTTGCCCTCAGCACCCAATCAATACAAGAGATGCAGCTGTTTTGGCGATATCAGACGCCCAGTATGTGGCTCCACTGGTCCAAACTGGTGATTTCCTAAGTGTAGCCAAGAGCTCCCCTGACTCTGGACCGAACACGTTCTTTTATGTCTTCGACTATCAAACTAAAGATGGAGATTATCCACAGGTAAGAAATAAACTGAAAACAACAGATGAGTTGGACCAGGCACACAATAAAGGTTTTTAAAAAAGCAGCTTCAAATAAAAGACCTCAAATTATAATTTCTTTTTAAGTATTTAACCATTTTAAGAAAATGACGATTTTTGCAAAAGATATACCAAATGTAGTTAATTTAGCTTTAGACACAATATTGTTTCTATTTGTCGGCGTAGTCATTTGTTTATTAAAATATGTTCAAATTTTTAAGATTACATGATTATGTGTCTATGGGACTCCTTTGTTCACTAGTGAATGTGGCACGTCTAATAAAATTAATTATACACATTCTCAACTTGTAACCAAAATCTTTCTTTAGAGAATGGGATCAGTCCATGGAGAAGAACTGCCGTATCTATTCGGAGCTCCACTGGTTGAAGGCCTCGGACACTTTCCAAAGAACTATACGAAGTCCGAAGTTGCACTATCGGAGTCCTTTATACAATATATTGCTAACTTCGGACGGAGCGGGTAAGAAATTTATGATATAGTTAGAAGGGTACCGAGAGAACCCAACGTGCTTGGAAAACTAAATTTTAATACTTAATTTGTAGTATATAGCCTTTTGTGTAAACAAAGCCGATGGACTCAATCGGAAAAGCCTATAAATACTCTACAATGTGAATTCATTGTTAACCGTTAATGTTTTCTTCAATATGCACAGCTGCCCTTCCTTGAATCTCCAAACAGAAAGTTACAAATGCTTCTGCTTTAGCACCAGTTCTAGAATAGATTAAAAACGCTTTGTGATTTGATTTCGTTATTATTCTCTGTACTGGCACCATTATGACACGATTGCGCCATGGGACTGTTTACGAAGGTGCTGTGTGTTTTCATTGTTTAAGACCCATTACTTTAAGATTAGTTAGATGACCTAGCTCAGTTCATGCGCTTCCTTTCATTATATACCCAAGTCCATAAACTTCACAAAGTAAACATTGAACAATCTACAATACGCCTATCAGTTCCATAGTACATTACAATTACCAAACCAAATGTCTTACCGAACCAAATGTCTTCTATTACATATTTGCTATGCATGTCGAATTTCTATGTAATAAACAAATAAACTATGACACAAAGTATAAATTTGCGTTATCACTGGTCTATAACATTGTGGACATGAAGGCGTCGTGGCCTAAAGGATCAATCACCAAGTACATTTGTGTAGAGATAGGCGATAGCACTACATGCTCGAATCCCACAAATAGGTACATATTTGGTCTTAAAGCCGTATTTTTTATTGCCTAGATTTGTGGACGCGCTCACAGTCCACCTGGTGTTAAGTGGTTAGCGGAGCCCATAGACATCTACAATGTAAATGCAGCACCCACCTTGAGATATAAGTTCATAGGTCTCAGTATAACTGTAACAAATACTTTTAGAAATCCCAATGAAGCCCAACGCATGGAATCTATACTTCCAATATCAAGAGAAAGAAACAAATATAAAAGTATAGTTTGGGACGAATACGATACTTTACATCAAAAATACTTGGAAATCGGTGAGTGTTTGCATAAGTTACTCGTAGATAAAATATTATTATAAGCATAACAAAGTTTAACCCAACAAAAACGCTCTGTCAGATATTTACACAGTTAATGTAGCGTCCATTAAAGGCAGAAGATCCTCCATGTAGATTGGATTATCTCGTAAAAAGCTACTGTAAATTTTGTCATCATGCCCATACGTAATCAACAAAAGACAAAATTTAATCTCATTCAACTCGCGTCCCAGAGTAATATCAATTTTAAAGTTAATTACTGCGGCCTTTTTCATTCTCCATGCCAACAACACAATTTGGTCACATTCCACAACGGGTAAACCCTTTTCACGATAAATTCCGTTGCAGGAATGAAGCCTCGGATGAAAAACCATTACCGTGCCCACCAGCTGTCGGTTTGGCTGCGTCTAATCCCGGAAATCCACAGGGCGGGGATGAAGGACGTGGTCGCCAAACACAACCTTTTCAGGAACCACAACGACCCCGAGCTGTACGACGGTTTAGTGCGGCCCGATCCCCTCACCCGGGCAAACTACTTCGATCCGACGCTCGAGCTCTACCGCAAACCGATTTACAACGTAACATTGGACGTTCCGTCCACTACAATGGACACTTACGTCACTACATGTATCAGCGTTATGTCCGCTCGTCCGGGCTCGGCGGTCACACAGAGCCAAGCTCCGAACAACACGCACACTCAGGACGTCTCGAACCTGGAAGTGGCTGGTTACACGGCCTACTCCACAGCGTTAAGTGTTACGATAGCGATCGGTTGTTCCCTGCTCATCCTGAACGTTTTAATATTCGCTGGAGTTTATTACCAAAGAGATAAAACGAGATTGCAGGTCAAGGCCTTGCAGCAACAGCAAAAGAGGAATCATAATTCGACTTTCGATAGCGTATCTTCAAAGCACCCTCATTATTTTGTGGGACATTCTCAGAGCTCGAGTACGATCGTGGACATCGACCATCAAGACAAAAACGCTATCATAGCCATGACGAATAGGGTGCCCCATTTTACGGGCACAAATTGCCCGAACGTTTGTCACACGGGAATACAAATGTCCAATCTGACGCAAAAATCGAGTCCTCCATCGAATCGAGGTCAATGCACGACATTACCCAGGAAAGTGGGGTTCAGTTACCAGCAACCGAATCAGATTTGTAACGCGTCAAACTGCATGACGCTACCTAAGAATGCTACATTTAGTGCTAATAATTTACCTGATGTTCAAGCACAGACTGGACAGTCACAGAGTGCTGGGAACGGTGTACCTCCATCTTCGCCCCAAGCCCAGCACTTCTCCCAAAAGCCAAGAGTACCTCAAGCAGCGATGTCAGAAATGAACGTATGAGATATGGAAGATATTTACAATTATGTGTAAAGGACACTTGAGTGCGCTGATTACGGACAAAGCATGGTTGTAAATATCAATTTGACAAATGTGTAAAGTGAACTGTGGATATATACATATAAAGTCTAAATTATTTGTATTATCTTTAATGTAATTAAATTTGATCGAAATGTGAGGTTTGTAATATTTTAATTCAATATTATGATGTTAAATATTTGTGTCGTATTTCTAAGCGGGTCCTCTGCAATCAGTGTGGACATAGTTGGACGTACCTGGAAACGACATATAAATTTAAACATGAATTTAAAATAATAAACGTATATTATTAATAGAAAGAACAATAGCGAATCTTTACTTTCCTAATAGCAAAAATATATCGAAATATAAAACTCACATTCTCTGAGAAGTGTAATAAATTGCATGACTTGTAATGTAAATTGTTTCATGAATAATGTAAATAGTAATCGATTAATTCATAGTAATGTTATATCCGTTCAAAATGGATGACATAATTATTAATTAGGAAATCTACATTGCATTTAATAATTAGGTAGAAAAAGCAACGTAATGAAATTGTGAAATTAAATATATTTTATGTAAATTATTATTTAATAATAAAACGTTTGTTGAAATAACAGAAAAGTTCTCGAACAAAGGTAAGCCTTAAAATCAATAATATGCATAGGTTCATTTTGGCTAAAATATCGCAAACATAGTCCCTTGATCTGTTTTTTTCCCTTAAAAAAAAAACAAAAAAAAAACATGAAAATTTTGTATAATACTTTACTTAGTCGTAGGTTTTGATGCCAATCTTTAACTTGTGGGTCTGATCTACGATGAAATTTTTACCAAAACATACAAACATACACGGCACTGAAAGCATTTTAAAGCATGAATTTATTTAATTTATTTAAATCGACGGATTTTTCAATTTTTGTGGCCACTAACGACACAAGCCGAATACAAAGTAACCGAAGCAAACATATATCTGGTGAGCTCACAGCAACACTCACTCACTCATTCTAGTGCTACCAAAAGCGTCAACTAATTTAATAGATACTACGTTTGAAGACGCCACATCGTGAACACGTGTTGAAGTATCAATTACTTCCAAATATCCTATTCTACTTTTAACTAAGGCACCCCTTACAGATCTCTTATTTTTGGCATAAGATACTACTCAAAAAGAGAATTTTAAAAATCAAGAAGCTAAACTATAAATCTTTGTGGCATCCAGGCAAAAAGATGGATCAACATTTTTATACTTTGAACGTTTAATTCAAGTGAAACACGTTGGATTTATTGGGACACAGCTACTTGTTTCATTGGTACATAAACTACCAGTGGATTTGAGGATCCATAGGTACGTAAAATCATGAACAAGCGCAGCGTGGATCACGTAATTTGTCACGATAAAAAGCATTATATTATATTGTGTTTATTCAGATAATAAAGTATCAATGGGCAAAATTTCATTCGAATTCGTTAAGTCGTTTTTTGGCCAATTGAGTCACAACCTATAAATTACCTTTCCATATAAATTAGTGAATTCGATATTTTTTCTCAAGTTTGTATTGAATTTCTATGATAGGAAGCAGGCTCTTGTACTTTGAAAAATGAGCCAGATAAATCAGGTTTCGAGTCTAATAATGAATTCCCAAACAATTTACGGTCTGATTGATGGTCTATTTGACCCTTATAAGTGTAAATAAAACTAATTAGTGTAACGAAGACTGTGTAATGAAAGCTAAGGTTAATTATCCTGTTTCGGTATTTAACGTGATAGGCAGAAGTATTAAAAAAAATATTAAAATCAAACATTTGACGTAATATTTAGCAGAGAGAGAGAAAAATTAATAACATTCTTTGAACTGAATTAATGATCTATCGACTCTTCTGACATTGGTCGAAGGAATAAATTCTCAAAGTCAACCTTTTCAACGTCTGACACAAAATTTTCCTCTTCAAGTTCACTAGAATGCCAATTCAATCACGTCCTAATTACTTGTGGAAAATGAATAAAATATTTAACGTTCCCTTACTTCGCAGAATATTCGATTTTGCTTCCACGTGCGGCTTTAGAAGGGCGTATAGAAAGGAAATGAAAAAAATGGAATAATCGAGAACAAACGTCAGCCTTGATAACAGCGTGTTACAATTTTACGATCTACGTGATCGCGATTCCATCTCTCACCTCTTTTTTTACTCGATTGCTGGGTGGGTGGGATTTTGAGCTCTACGCTTCATATGGTGTTTTCTCTGTCTCAGTCTATATATATTTTATAATTTAAATATATACATTATCGACTATGAGCTCTCATGAAAAATTTTCACGCCAACTGAAAATACTATAGGCCAAGACAAACTCTTGACATGCGAACATAATAATACCGTAACTTTGTTCAAAAGAAAAATAATATTAAATAAGAAACTGGTTAATTATTAATTTTAATAAAAGCTGTTTTACTGTACGGGATTTAGCGTTTCAAAACCACTATTAAACTAACCATACAATTAAAACAGCACGAATAAACATGTCAACATAAAAATACTTCTGCCTCTCACACCACTATTTATTTCCTCGTATATTAATTACCATTACAACGTATATTATTTTATCATTCTTGTAACTTTATTATCTTTAGTTAAAAAAAATTATATATGTTTATAGTAAGCGTTATTAAGGAATCTTATGACAATTATCGAGATTTGGTAAAGACAAAATAAACTCTTTAAATACATTGTTTTGATTTATTTATTTGTGTTCTTTCGGAACGTAAGATATACCTTAAACAGTCATGAAGATAAAAAATGCACAACTGCATATTTATTACAGATATTTCGAATTGACAGAGTCAGAGCTGTCATACTGAGTGCCCTAGTAGGTACCGATTTTGTTTCTTTCTTAAGGGGAGATCGGAATGCTACCTTCACCGACCCTATTATCAACCCCAGCTGCACGCGCTGGATGGCGGCGGCGACCAACAGGTTGCCGTGGTGCTCCCTGCTAGAAAACCAACGAGGCAATGGCGACCGAGCAATGGCGGTATAACCGTACACACCCGTCAAGGCCACCTGTATGGAAAAGGCGTCAGAAACCTTAGGGATCAAATACCCCCTAAAATGCTGGTGCAGAAAGCAACGGGAAACCACTGCAGTAATTTCCCACGAGAGTCATGAGCAGGTCGTATATCCGACTGATGCATGACTACGACCACTTTGTCAAGAGTGTACGAATAGAAAGAAGTATGTACCGATTATTAATATAGACGCAAATAGTTCTCTTCGCCAGCTTCAATTTTTAAGCAGCATTTGCGTGTACATATACAAGTACGTTCAGCCTGTAATGTTATTTCATAACACTAATCAATCTAGTAAAACTTATTATGGATAAACGGATTGACAGATTTGTCTGAACAAACAATCCGTTTAATTGTAATAATGAGAATGTACTTTAAAGAAGAATGTTTAAATCAAACGCAAAATCACTTCACATTCCATTTCTATCTCAGACAAAAATATAGTGGTCTTACACAGTCTCAAATGTCCGAATAAAAACTCTTTAACAAAGTAGGGAATACTGTTAGCTGAGTAACGAAAGGATAAAAACGTGTTATAGTAGCTAATAGATTTATACATTGCTGTCTGTGACAAATAACTCTGGGCGTACCTAGTTAATACTAGGCTTAATAGCCTGTACATGGACCTTAAACTGTACATTCGATGTATATTTTAAGTCGGACAGATATTCTATCATCAAAACTGAAAAGCACCATACCTCGGATCAGAAATAGGCGAATGACGTGCTTTGTCCTAGCTTTGGATATGTCTTGAAATCTTCCACCCAATAACGAATTAGTAGAATAATAACTTAATATTAGTTAAAACAGCATCCACAAAAACCACCAGCAACAGGGATATTAACATTTAGACACTGCAGGATGCAGGATAAAAAGGAGTTGACTATTTTATAATCGCTCTGTTGAAGAAGTTCTGAGAAGGTGCTTCTGTAAAATTAACAGCTATTTCCATTAGGCTCACATCATAGGCGGATAGCTACCATAAAATATAAGAATATCTGAAAGACCTGCCATTTCCTTTTGAAAGGCACTCCAAAGCTTTTAAGTTCAAAAGGACTACAGTGTTCACACTATAAAGCGAAACACCTTTGACAAAGTTATCTGCAGCATCTTTTTCACGGTTTACATTCGAGACACTTTAGGAGACTTGAAAATGTGTTTTGGTATGTTTTAAACAAATTTTTATGTAGGTATTCTATTCAATTCATCTTGTAATCTTGGTGATCATTTTATTTGGAAAGCTATTGAGAACCCAAGAATACATAACCTGGGGCTCATAGATCTCAGAAATGCTATTGCATACTTTGAAAATTAAAGTTTCAGTTTTTTGGTCAGATGGTAAAATAAATCGCACGGAAGCAATAGCAGTATTTTTAAGAAGCCAAGATGCCAAAATTCCAAATTTTTGAATACCTGTAACTTTTGTAAAAACTAATAATCTCTTATTCCTGGATTTATCTGTGCTAGTTTAGTATTGTTTATAAATTAACGTCTAACAATGCAAACGACTCTAAATATTTTCCAAGCAATTGCTTGGAAAATATTTAGTTAAGTAAGTTAAATAAGTGTTTAAATAAGTAGTTAAATAAGGATTAGTTATGATCAATTGATCATAACTAATCCTTATTTGTATTAGCGTATTTAGTATTTGTGTCTTCTACTAATCATTTATTAAGTAGTACAATGTGTGTTTGCTTGTTATACATTCTGATTTTAATAGAAATAAATGACTAGTAAATTGCTATACCAAATTACTAATAAATTACGATTCGAGTACTATAAAAAGATACCATATACAGAACCCGGCCTCAACTAATCGCTAACAGTTTACAGGTGTTAGCGACGATGAAGTTTTTAAGACCTGTAAAATATGGCGCCTGCATTACTCTCGAACAGTTTTTGCGTAATAAGCGGTCGGAG